CCTATAAAATGCTTATGCTTATGTCTCCAGGCCCTCCAAAACCGAACAGGGCGGGGAGGTCTTCCTCTGCATTCCGACAGCTTTACAAATTTCGGGTCTCGAACGTTTGGGGCTTTACGGTGAATGGGAAGTTAAGGCTTATGAATGGCTTGTGATAGATAGACTATGGATTGGGCCGGAGGTGTGGGGCACCAGCAATCACACAATTTCGTCGCGCAGCATGCGAAAGAAGTGCACCGTATCTGGGTTCAGGGTTTGGAGGTGGTCTTTTGCAAGCAGTGATGTGCCTGCCACAACCATTCCAGTTCACTTAAACCCTGAACCCTCCCGAAAGCCCCCTCTCTGGCGCTCAAGCTTCAACCCTGACTGACACTGGCAGCTGTCTGCACCAAGCCCAAAACAAGTCGACTCGCAGCCCGAAAACCACACCTCGAACACGAGGCACAACAAACACCCGGGACAGAAAGCCTGTCTAATTACATCCCCAAGCGTTCACAACCGCTTCAAACACACGAAGCCCTAGCGGCCCATAACGTCCTGATGCAGGGGCCTTAATAATTTAGAACCAGGATTCTGTTGGGAAGGGCGGCATAGTATAGAGACTGTGAGAAAACACGATACCTAATTATAACAACTCACTATTCAGACTCCCAAAATCCTGAACTCTAAATCCCGGATTCCCTGTAGCAAGGCCACCTCGGGATCCTCAGCCAAGGTCTCCTCCTCCTGTATTGATTGCAGGAAGTGGGGATTAGGATCAGGGTTTAGGGTTTAGNNGGGTTTAGGATTTCGGGTTGAGGGTGCCCTCACAGAAGTTGCGCAGGGTTTACATCCCCTGTTCTGTCCGTCCTGTTATCTGGCAACCCTTTCTTGTGCTCGGCTTCTGAACAGATTGCCCATCATGCCGTGGTTTCCGGCAGTTTGCCGAACTGCCACAAGTTTTTGTGCATTTGGAGCGTAGTAGGCGGGGGATTTGTGCTAATGTTGCATGCAGCACTCTGAACTCCGAAGCGTCAAGTCAACCCCAATCCCTAAACCGCGACTCCACAACCCCAGTCACGAAACCCCAAGCCCGAAACCCCAAACCCGTGCCCATCTCCTCTCCTTCAGCTTCTTGATCCCCGGAGGCCTGCCCGGGAAATCTATTCAAGCTGTAGATGCCGCAGTGCTACGGAGGAGCAGCAGGGGTCGAGAACGGCTCGGGCACAGGGTCTGGGGATGCTGCACGCTTTTGAGTTGCAAATCCTTGTCCAAAAGTATGAGCTCTACTGCTCCGAGAAGTGGTAGCGCGTGCGACCAAAGCAGCCTGAAAAAAGCAGCCATGGACAACAACTCGAGAAACACATGAGGAGGCGAACGCAGTCCAGAGTTCGTGCCACGAGGACCACGTGGTAAACGACTGCGACTAGCCTGAGGTCCATCGTTCCGTACAACATATACCGAAACAGTGTTCTAATGATGAGCTAATGAAGGCCCCGAAAAGTAAATACAGTAGTAGTGCATTAGCCACGTTGTTTCAAAATGTCCATCATGGAAAGATCTCCTAGCTGCCCGTGCACACCGGCGTTCAGGATTCAGGGTTTAGGGATCCTTGAATTCCCAAAAGTCTAAATGATACATTGACAAGCCCTATAAATACATTCCTGGGTTTGTACACAAAACGCAGGAACAACCAAATAAGGTAAGTTTATGTATCTATGTACCCATTTGTCTGTTTTTCTACCTGGCTACCAGTCTGTCTGTCTGTCTGTCTGTC